CAGTAAATAAAGGAATACATTGTCTGAAAAACATGGGGATATTTTAAAAATATACTGACTACCTGAAGCAACACAAGTTTATCACATCCTGCCGCCTATACAACGACAAACTTAAACATAAATTTGAAAGGAAAAAAATTTTTCTATTTTAGACAAGAGTCAAATTAAACTCTCCACAGACAGCAAAATAAGTGAACTACACTGTTTACAAATCCTACTTGAGGTCCTAACTGCATGAGACAGTGCGTCTACCTAGCCCAGTAAGTATTTGTATTCTTCCTGGAATGACCAAAGTGTACACAGCCTTACCGGTCAGCACAGCTTTGGCGGATGGGTCTGCTAAGTCCAATGCTGTCCTTCCATCTGTATTTCGAATGGTTGGCTCAGCTCCATGCTGTAAGAGCACTGCAAAAAATAGCAACACTACCTTTCAAAATGGTGATCATGGCAATCTGAGTTAATAAATCAGTTTTTTAATAGTTCTTGTACAGGGACCTTGAGATGTCTCAGTGGGTAAAGGCATTTGTTATGCAAACGTCACAATCCAAGTTCAAATCCTAGAATCCATTTAAAGGTGGAAAAAGAGATACAAGTCCACAGGGTTGTTCTCTGACCTCCACATGTGTCTTGGCAAAAATGTCCTCTACATCACATAGACACATACAATAATAACAAAAAAAAATTAAAACAAAAGTCCCAGTAGAGAATTCTCAAAATTATTTAAAGATTGTTTGTATACTAATAATATGGTAAATGTTTAAATTTAAGAAAATGTAACATATTCAATTATTTATTACACTAAGAGCATGCTAAGTTTTCTCATTCAATGTAAGGTTTTTTTCTTAGCTATTTTTATCACTGTTGACAGGTGATGAAGGACGATAAGAAGTATGCAGGGGAAAAGGGAAAGCTGGCTTGAAAGCTTTTCTTGTTGCAAAGGAGCACTGTCTATGCTAGAAAGATTCCTCTATTATGAAATGCCTAAAGCTGCGTAGTCCAGGCAGAAAGCTGTAGGATTTAAAACCTATGTGAATACAAGCATACATCTGTGTGCACTTGCACACACAGAAGCAAAAAAATAAAAAGTTTTTTGAAGAATGGAGAGGTCAAGGCTGATCCAGGCAATTACCGAACAGGGCCTATATAGTTACAACGAGACCCTCAAACCACAACCAGAGTTCTTCATAAGGCCCCTTTCTGTTTTCCTACATTTCTCCAGTACAAAGATGCCAGAAAGTTGAGCCTTGAGACCTGACTCTGGCTAACTGTTCCAGTTAGGTGTTTGTTACTGGGATAAAACCATGACCAATAGAAACTTGGGGAAGAAAGGGTTTATTTGGCTTACAGGTTGCACTCTATCATCAAGGGAAGCCAGGGCAGGAACCTAAGGGCAGGAACTGCAACAGAGACAATGGAGGAACACTGCTTACTGTCTTGCTTAGCTACTTACACAGCTCAGGCTCACCTGCCTAGGAAGGCACTGCCCACGATGGGCTGAGCCTACCTACATCAATTAAGAAAATGCCAATGTAATAGAGGCAATCCTCAACTGGGGTTCAGTCTTGCCAGGTGACTCTACTTGGTGTCTAGGTGATAAAACCTAACCAGCATACTAACTTACACCATTATTGTCTAATACTCAATGTTCATTTCCACCATGGCTTTATTTGGTTCTCTTGTTTTGTTTTGATTTTTAGAGACAGGGTTTCACTATGTACCCCTGGCTATCCTGGAACTTGTTCTGTAGACCAGGCTGGCCTTGAACTGAGAGATTCACCTACTTCTGCCTCCTGAGTGTTGGAACTAAAAGCCACCAAGCTCGGCTGCCTTTATTTGGTTTGTTGAGCATCTTATCTCTCAAGAGAACACAAGTTTCTAGAGAATGATTTTTTTTTCTCAAAGAATTTTAAGATTTTAAGAAAAGACATTCAGTGAAGAATGGTTAGACTGAAGGCTGGAGGGGAAAAAAAAGGTTAGATTAAATCATGAACAGATTTAAATGTAAGTTCAGCCTAGTAGAAAGACAACATTAACAAATTAGATTCAAAATTAGATTTAGAATAGTTACATTTTCTAGAAAATTCTGAAAAAGAAATACAAACTTACCAATGCAAACATCAATTTTTCCTTTAATAGCTGCTTCATGGAGAGGAGTATAATTCCAATTATCTCGAGCATTTGGGTCTGCACCATGTTGCAAAAGGAGATTGACGACTTCGGCGTGACCAAAAGAGCACGCATTATGAAGAGGAATAAGACCCCCATCATCACGTGCTTGCACATTTGCACCATTCTGAAGCAGATATTCAACCACATCTTTCCGTCCAAAACCTAGAAAGAAAGCCGATTGCCCACATTTAAATTTACCAAGGAAAATGACAAGCCATGCTAAAATGTTTTAGGATGAAAAAAATAACAAGATCAACAATTCAAGAACTGTTGAAAAGATGACCCGAAATATATACAACTAACCTTAATGTTTAAGCTCAAGGTCTCTCCCTCTGCTAAGTAGCCCAGACCACCTAAGTGGTTGAGAGCCTTAGCTGCTGCTGCTACTAAATTCAGAGATGATGGGGGGGGGGGAGGCGGGGGCAAAGGCTAAAACCTCAAATGATTCCAACTATATAATGACATTTCCAATTGTAAATACCAAATTCTGCATATTTAGTGTGCACACATTTTCAGACACTCCATGTATGTAACCTAAGTATGTAAATGAGTACCTAATAAAGAAGGGCAGACTTAAAGTCTTATAGAATCCCTTTCTGCTCCAGTGGAGGACCATGAGGCAACAACAAAATAAGACCAGCTTATAGCTTGTACTTGCCTACATGATGAGAGAGGTGAAATGTAAATCTTTATTTTGCTACTTGCACAACACAAACAACTTCTTTCTAGGTAGGCGTCCTTCTTTATATAGGTGCCAGTCTGCTCAGTTATCCCCAAACCAAGTGAAGCAAAAAGGTCTGGTGTTTTACTAGCGTTTTTATTGCTGTAAAGAGATGCCACAATCATGGCAACTCTTATAAAAGAAAGCAGGAAAGCACATAATTGAGGTGGCAGCTTACAGTTTCAGAGATTTGGTCCATTGTCAACATGGCGGGGAGCATGGAAGTGTGCAGGCAGACATGGTGCTGGTACATCTTCACTTGCAGGCAACAGGGAGTGACCTGAGACATTGGGTGGTATCTTGAGCATATATGAGACCTCAAAGCTCCTCTTCACAGTGACACACTTCCTCCAACAAGACCACACCTGTGGTGGTAATCTAATTGTACTGAAATGTGATTTTGATTGTATGTTAATAAATAAAGTTGTCCGGGGGTCAGAGCTATTAGAACCATAGCAAGAGTGTGGTGGTGGTGGTGGTGGCGGTGGTGGCGGTGGCGGCACACGCCTTTAATCCCATAGATCTCTGTGTGTTCAGGGATATAGCCAGCATTGGAGACATATGCCTTTAAGACCTAGGGGGCTGTACATTCAGACAGTGACGAGGCCGTCACATGTTTGGGTTTACAACCAATGAGAAGGCAGAACAATAATACTATAAAAAAGGCGTACAGACAGGAAGTAGCCCTCTTTCGCGAAGCTGGGACAGCAGGAGGAAGGGTGAGATTTTAGCTCTGAGCTCTGACCTCTCGGCTTTCTCTTTTACATTGTTTCTGTGTTTCTTATTTAATAAGACGGTTGGTTACATCTACACACACACACCTACTCCAACAAAGCCACACCTCCTAGTAGTGCCACTCCCTGAGATTATGGGGACCAATTACATTCAAACTATGATAATGATTATTCTGGTTTATAGAATAATTTAGTACCAATGAAATATTATCTCCTATCATTCTTATACTATTAATACTCAATACCTTTAAAAAATTAACTGTAAAATGAAAGGATTTGGGGCATACGTTAAAGCAGGTGATGGACGGTAAATGTGTGTGTTGAGACAGAGAAAAACCTCAACCCCTCAGTCTTCTGAAGTTTTTCCATAATATTCTTAGAATCATTAAGTCTGAATGTAATCTGATGTATATCAAAAGAATGGAAGGTCTTTCCAGGTGGATAGGAAACTGACTGTGAATGAAGAAGAAACAGCGCTGAGGAAGTCAATTGGTTTTTTGGGGGAGGTGGGGGGGGGTTCAGTATCTTTTGGCGAGGAAGATGAGTAGTGTGTGTGCGTGTGCGCGTACATACATACGTACCATGCATGGAGGTCAAGACACTGGATGTCACTCCCTTCCTTATTTCCCTGAGGCAGGGCCTGTCCCTGACCCCAGAGCTAAACTAGTGACCGGCCAGCCTCCTCTGCTCCCCCACAGCACTGAGATTATCAGGGCAAGCACAACTGAGCCTGCTTGTTTGTTTTTCTTTTTAAATGTTGAGTGCTGGCATCTAAACTTTGGTTCTTAAACATGCACAGTAAGTGTTTCTACCACTGAGTATCTCCCTAGCCTACCCACCCCACCCTTTTGGTTTTTACAGCCCATGTTACCTACCCATGAACTTGCTATGTAACCAAGTATGACCTTAAACTTTTGATCCTCCTGCTCCTTCCAAGTGCACCACCGTGTCCTGTTGTGTGGTGCTGGGAATCAAACCCAGACCTTTTTGATGCTAGGTAAACACTCTACCAACAGCTTTTTCTTTGTAGCTACATTCTCTCTCTCAACAAGGACATAACTTCAGGAAGAAACCATTTATCTGTTTTTAGAGCTAAAAGAACAAATCCTTTATGACAGCTAGGATACATAATACTTAATTATCAGAGGGCAGTTTGGAAAGATCTACATGACTCACAAGGCAGTGTTTGGACTCTGTCCTACAGACTTGTATTTTTCAGACAGCAGATTTCAATGAAATCCTTTTTATGATCCAATAAACTTATGCCATGGTTACTGTCAAATACCCAATGCCGGCACACAGCTGACACTCAGAGCTGCCTTTTTCTCTTTCACAAAGACTCAAAAGAAAATGGTCTTGTATCTTTGAGCCACCGGAGAAAGTTTGAACAATACTAGTAAGCACATCAACAGCCCTGAGGTTTTGTTTAGGAAGATCACTTTGGTGGTATGTAAATACATGGAAGGACTACAGAGACAGGAGATAGCTAAGTCAAGATCTGACATGGTTACTGTTCCAACTCCTGTGACATGTGCTGAATGCACACAGTAAGGCAGGCTTAGTTGTTAAGCCAGGTTGCATTCACATACTGAGGCTTTCCTTCCGTTCCTATTCCCAGCCTCTCACACATTCCTTTTTGATTATTGCTTTTTGCACACATTTCTACTCATATCCCTACCAATAGTTTTGAAAGGTGCTATTTGCATATTCCTTTTTTTATTTAAAATCGAATGGTACCCTAGAAATTAATTTCTATTTGTAAATACTTTCTTTATTGGAATATCAAAATTTAACTAGTTTCATCTGATCTAGACAGCTGAGTGATTTCTCAATCTTTTTACTACTGCACATAACACTATAAATAACTAAAGAGAGAAAGAAAAGAAAATGATAGGCTCCAGTGGCTAACACAGTAAGCAGATTCTCAAATGAGATACAGAATAAAACAGGGTTTGTGAGTGTGCTGGCTAGTTTTTTGCCAATGTGACACAAGCTAGAATCACCTGAAAGGAGGAAACTTCAGCTGAGAAATTGCCTCCCCAAGATCTGGCTGTAGGCACCTGTAGGTCATTTTCTTTGTGATTGATGAGGGCGCAGGCCATTGCATGTAGTGCCACACCCCTGAGCTGCAGTGCTAGAACAAAGCAAGCTGAGCAAGTCAGCACAATTCTTCATGGCCTATGCCTCAGTCCTGCCTCCAGGTTCCTGCCTCAACTTCCTTCAGTGGTGAGCAGTGACGTGGAAGGGTAAACAAAATAAACCCTTTCCCTCCCAAGCTGCTTTTGGTCATGGTATTTGTTTTGTTTAGACAGGGTTGTTCTGTGTAGGTTTGGTGCCTGTCCTGGAACTCACTCTGTAGACCAGGCTGGCCTTGAACTCACAGAGATCTGCCTGTCTCTGCCTCCTGAGTGCTGGGATTAAAGGCGTGCGCCACCACTGCCCAGCAGTCATGGTGGGTTTTTTGTCTGTTTGTTTTTGGACAGGGTTTCTCTGTGTAACAAGTCATGGTGTTTTATCCCAGTAGAAGTGCTCATGGGACAAATGCCCAGTAAGTAGTAGGTTCTGTGGATCCTAAACTCCGGAAACTGGTCCAAGCTGGAGACAGTCATTTTGGAGTTCTGGCCATAAAGTCAGGCATGAATATTAATGAAGCTAACTAGAGAACACTGATATTTTCTTATATGGCAGGAAGTGTACCTACAATCTTTCTCTGTCAAGATCTTTGCTCTCCCTGTGCTCGATCAACACACTCCTTTCTTCGTCTCATGGAAAGTCTTCTTCCTGAACTCACATTCTCAGCTCTGCTCCTGCATAACCCAATCTGTAAGGTCCACCTCCCTTTCTTTTCTCAAATTCAGCCAGCTGCTGCTTCTTTCTCATAGTTGCTTTGGACAAGGGCACTTACAATGGCCACATTCCCAAATCCAAAGGATTCTGTCAGTATTTGACTAGACACGCCAGCAATATTCAACAGCTCACTAGTCTTTCCTGCTTGAAATCCTTTCTCCAAAGAGTTTAAAGGAGTCATGATCCAGGTCTTATTCCTTATCCCATTCATTCATTTAACAAATGATAAGAGAATATCAACTATGTGCCAGATACTTTTCTGGTGTATATGACAAACCAGTAAACAAACTAAATCTCTGCCTTAAAATTTTTTTTTTATATGTTGTGTGTGTGTGTACACAGGGGCCCTTGGAAATTGGAAGAGGGCTTTGGACCCCCTGAACTGTAGTTACAGGTGGTTGTGAGTCACCTATGAGTGCTGGTAATGAACCCAGGTCCTCTGCAAGAGAATCAAGTGCTCTTAATTTCAAAACCTTTTCTCTAGTTCACCAAATTTCTGCTTTTGAGGAACTTCTTTTTTTATTGGTATGCAGGAAGACAATAAACATAAAAAAATAAGTATGTTAAGAGGCAATGAAAAAAAAGAGCAGGCTGAGGAGAGCTTAAAGTACATGTGGGAGAAGACTGCAAAATTGAATATGGTGGTCTCTGTAGCTATCACTAATACACTGACAAAGACTCTGACTTACTGGCTAACAGTGGGTACAACAGTGAAAAAGGAGTAATAGAATAGGAAGTAAAGCAGCAAGGAAGGACAGATAAAGACACCAGGTGAAACTTGAAGATCACCAAGTTTGGCTTTATATATATATATTTGTGTACACACACACAGAAAATGGGAGTCACTACAGGGTTTTCAG